GGATGGGCGGCCGACGCGAATTTCAGTGCAGAAAGTGATTGAGGTCGGCGCCGAGACTGTCCAACAGGATTCGGCGCGCCTTGGCTTGGCAGATTTAGTCCCCAATGCCGATGATTGAGTACACCAAACAAGAACAGCGTCAGGCCGCGGTTTCATCAACGATGGAACGTCTGCTGGCCCATTGGTACGCCATTACCAAGCAACCGCATTCTGGCATTAATTTAATTGAATTTTTGGCCGAAGCAGATGACGGCCCTGTTTTGTCTCTCGAGAAGGTTCGGGCAGCACCGGCCGAACTCGAGGACCATCGGCCTCAAGTCAAGGACCCATTAGAGGAAGTTAACGTAGGCACGGTCGATGATCCTCGCATATTGTTTATAAGCGCGTTACTCCCACCGGCCATGAAGGCCGAACTCCGTAAGTTACTTCAGGAATTTAAAGATTGCTTTGCGTGGAGTTACCATGAAATGCCAGGCCTCGATCGAAGCTTGGTCGAGCATGAGCTACGCATCAGAGACGGTTGTAAGCCTTTTCGACAACCCCCTCGCCGATTCTCGACCGAGTTACAACTCGGCATTAAGGAAGAACTGGTTCGGCTTCTCAAGGCCGGATTTATTAGGACCGCTCGGTACGTCGAATGGTTGGCCAATATCGTCCCAGTGTTGAAGAAAAACGGTGCCCTCCGCATTTGCACCGATTTCCGTAACCTGAATCTGGCGACTCCCAAGGACGAATATACAATGCCAATGTCAGATTTGCTCATTGATGCCGCAGCTAATCATGAACTACTATCTTTTATGGACGGTCATGCGGGATACAACCAGATTTTCATCGCCGAAGCCGACGTCCACAAAACGGCTTTCCGTTGCCCAGGGGCACTGGGCACGTACGAATGGGTAGTCATGCCGTTCGGCCTCAAGAATGCCGGCGCCACATACCAACGAGCCATGAATATGATCTTCCACGACTTAATTGGGACCATCGTCGAAGTTTATATCGACGATGTGGTGGTAAAGTCGAAACGCCGCCAAACACACCTGGATGACCTACGACAAACGTTCCTTCGCATGCGCAAGAATAGTCTCAAGATGAACCCAGCCAAGTGTGCTTTCGGTGTTTCGGCCGGCAATTTCCTAGGGTTTTTGGTGCACCATCGCGGCATCGAAGTCGACGCCAATAAAGCCCGCGCCATCATTAGCGCCCCACCTCCCACAACAAAGAAACAGTTGCAGTCGTTACTCGGACAGATCAACTTCCTCCGCCGTTTCATCGCCAATTCGGCCGGTAAAATGAAGGCATTCTCTACTCTCCTCAAACTTAAGGATACCGATAAATTTGTTTGGCGCGAAGAACATCAGAGTGCATTCACGCAGATCAAGGTGGCCCTTTCGACCCCACCCGTGCTGGTTCCACCTTGTCGCACCAAACCCCTCAAACTATACATTTCGGCAGCCGCCGAATCCATTGGTTGTCTCCTTGCGCAAGACAACAACGTCGGTCGTGAGCAAGCTATCTTTTATCTTAGCCGAAATCTGAATGCACCAGAGCTCAATTACTCACCGGTCGAAAAACTTTGCTTAGCTTTGTTTTTTGCCACATCCAAGCTTCGGCATTACATGCTCCCATCAGTTACGCAGGTCATCGCCCAGACAGACGTAATTCGTTACATGCTCACTCGGCCTATCGTTAAAGGCCGAATCGGGAAATGGACACTCGCCTTATCCGAATTTAGCCTGCAGTACGTTCCCCAAAAAGCGGTCAAGGGGCAGGCTCTCGCCGATTTCTTGGCCCAGCACCCTTCCCCATATGGTTTTGAAGGGGGCGATGTCGACATCGGTCTAGTCACCACACGCGATAACCATTGGACTATGCATTTCGATGGATCCAGTACTTCGACTTCGGCAGGTGTCGGCATCGCAATTCAGTCGCCCGACCACTACCGATGGTACTTCTCTCTCAAGTTGGATTTCAGCTGCACAAACAATCAGGCCGAATATGAAGCCCTCATTATCGGTCTCCACGTTTTACACGATCTACGGGCCTCCCGTGTTCTTGTCCTCGGTGATTCCGAACTTGTGATTAACCAATTGAACGGCATTTTTCGTTGCATGAGTTGTACTTTGGCGCCATATCACATGGTCGCCACATACTTGGCCGAGTCCTTCGAACGGATCACGTTTGAACATATTTCACGAATCCACAACACCGATGCCGATGCACTCGCCCAGATCGCCTCTGGAGCACAACTCATGGGGGGCAAACTTGGCTGCATCGCAGCCACAGGCCTGCAATCGTACCCGGCCTTGATCGATCGGCAAACCCTCCAGCGCACACACGTAATACGAACAAGGGTAATGTCGCTCCCATCCTTACTAGAACGGGGAGACCCCGTAGAAATATATGCCGTCGAGGTAGAACCAGATGATTGGAGAAAAACGATGTTACGGTACCTCGATAATCCCAACGGGAAACATGACCGGAGAACGAAGGTCCTCGCCACGAATTACGTGTCGTATCAAAATGAATTATATCGCAAGGGCGAGGATGGGTTACTGCTGTTGTGCCTTGGCCCAGACGAGGCTGCCCAAGCAATGGCCGAGGTACATGAAGGAATTTGCGGAGCACACCAGTCTGGACGAAAGATGCGTTGGTTGCTCCGACGACACGGTTACTTTTGGCCCAGTATATTAAAGGATTGCATCGAATACGCACGGAGATGCGTACCATGCCAAATTCATGGACACGTACAGAGAGCCCCGGCCGAATTGCTACATTCGGTCACCAAACCATGGCCGTTCAGAGGTTGGGCAATGGACGTGATTGGCAAAATCACGCCATCATCGGGGGCAGCGAAACACGCGTGGATTATGGTAGCAACTGACTACTTCACTAAGTGGGTCGAGGCAAGGTCATACGCCGAATTAACGGCCAAGGAGGTATGCAATTTCGTAGAGGAAAATATTGTGACCAGATTCGGCGTGCCAGAAACGATCATAACTGATAATGGCACTATCTTCACGGCCGATAGGTTTAAGGAATACGCAGCAAGGTTGAACATCCGACTCGAGCAATCTACGCCGTATTACCCACAGGCAAACGGGCAGGCCGAGGCAAGCAATAAAGTGTTGATCGGCATCCTTGAAAAAATGGTAAAAGAAAAACCTGGGTTGTGGCACTTAAAGTTAAATGAAGCGTTATGGGCATACCGAACTTCACCCCGCTCGGCCACTGGAACGACCCCTTACGCGTTAACTTACGGACACGACGCCATGTTACCGGTCGAGTTAAGTATAAGTTCGTTACGAGTAATCGAGCAGAGTGACTTGTTCAGTATTGAATATTGTCAAGTGATGCGGCAGGAATTAGAAGATTTAGAAGAAAGTCGAGTCGACGCGAGTAACTTATTGGTAGCACAAAAGAAAATTGCCGAACGAGCGTATAACCAGCGGGTAAGACGAAAAACGTTCGGCGAAGGAGAATTGGTTTGGCAAACTGTGTTGCCTGTTGGGATTAAGGATCCAAGATTTGGGAAGTGGTCGCCGAATTGGGAAGGGCCATTCGTCGTTCACAAAGTCCTCGGCAAGGGGGCATATCATTTAAAAGATCGGACGGGTTCAGTTCACAAATTGCCGATTAATGGAAAGTTTTTAAAGAAGTATTATCCAATTACATGGGAAATGCAAGAATAAGACCATTGTAGCAAGACGACCATCGGATTAATAGTAAAACGACCATTGTATTGATATCAAAAGAATCATTACAAAAAGAAAATACAATACAATGAGATTTCTAAGGGGACGGGGGGAGATAAGTCTCAAGGGCAGCTTTTAGCTCCAGCCACTTCGCTTCGCCCAGAATGATCTCGGCCTGCCTGGTTTTCTTGTTACACTGCAACTGCTGGACGTGCCGTGCACCGGCAGCGAAGGCCGTCAGCCGAGCTTTGCTAGCCTCGAAGTCCTTCTCGAGCTCGGCAGCGGCAACTGACCTCTGTCGTTGAAGGTCAGAGATTTGACGTTGGAGTTCAAATATCTGGCGATCAAACTCAGTCAGCGTCGCCTTCTTAGCTTTGATTGCCTCCATCTCAGCTCGGCCGGCCTCTTGCGCGACCTTGGCAGCCTTCAAGTCATCCTCGGCTTGAAGGGCTCGCTCGAGGACATAGAAGTGTTGCCGAGTCCGCTCCAGGAGGTCGGTAAGGAAAGAGATACCTTCCGGGCTCAGATGACCACCGCTGGCGAGGTCGTTGAGACACTCTCCAACAGAGTCGAGGCCTTTGCACCGAAGAGCTTGGGAGGCAGTCAGAGACAAGACTTCGTGCAGCTTCACAAAGACTTCGGCGGGCGTGGCTTCCGCCGATTCGGCCGGAGCAGCAGAAGAACCGGCCGCACCATTCGTGCTCTGCAGAAGGGCATCGAGCTCCACTTCCCACGACGGCTGCACGTAAGAGAACTTTGTGAAGAAAAGTAAAACGTCATCATATAGTGCATAAAGGAAAAGGGGGATTGTTTTAGACCTGCCGAGAGGAGACCTCGGCCATGCCCTCTGGGTCATTGCTCGAACCCAGGGAACTTAATGGCCGAGCCCAGTGCCTTAGACCGCTACGCAATTCACGCGGCCGATGGAGGTTATCTACATTTGATGGCCACGACGGTGGCCAGGAAATATAGACAACACCCCTCGGCGCATAAAATTGCCGGTGAAATGAATGTTCGGGCACCTGACATTTAATGGTCTTTTTCAAATAAAACATGTGTCACGAAAAAATCAATACAAAAGAAGCGAGACTTACAAAGGCCGAAGAGACTTCCTGTGGAGGAATGGGAAGGTCTTCGTCCTGCGGATGGATCGGCGTTTCGGCCGTGGCCTCAGGATCGGCCATGGGCCTCTTACCACGATCTGCCGCGGAAGGACGTGGTCTAGCGGTCGCCTCGACGACCGGAGGAGGATGGACTGGAGGAGAGTGAACTGGTCGACGGTGACGTTCCAGCGGAACTTCGTTACTCACGCTCTCGTCATCCTGAACAAAAAGAGAACATTTAGCATTACGACCCGAAACCTAAGGAAACAAGTGGAAGTAGAGTTTTACCTCCAAAACGACCGTGGGAGTCGAGGGTGCATCGACGGGCGCAGCCGGTTTGGCCATTGCAGGCGCCACGACCGGCTCCGAAGCCGGAGATGGTGCGACGATTGGATCGGCCGTGGCGCCAGGAAGGGGAACGGCTGGAGGGATCGGGAGTAGAGATGCCGGGGTAGCCGGCACAGGAGAGCCGTCAGAGGCAGGCGTCCCAGTAGCATCACTGGGGACGACATGGATCGCCCGGTCGCCCTTCTTCGCCAATTTTTTGACGCGTTTAGAAGGGCGAAGGACATCAACCTCCGGCTCGGCCTCTCGGTGGAGGCGTTTGGAGGGGGCTGTCCGCTCAGTGGCGATGGTTTTCTTGGGCACCACCTTCTTCACTCTCGCCGCCGCGGCAACCACTTCGGCCTTCTTCGACCCACGACCCCCTGAAATAGCAACGTAATTGTTAAACAAGGGCAAGTTTTGAAATGGCGAAGTAGTTTCAGTAATATACCTTGAGCCGACTCCTTAGGTTGGGTCGAGGGTGCTAGTCCCGGCCGGTCGCCAAAGACTTTGCTCACCACGTCTTCGATTGAGGCGCCGAAGAAGTCGCAGATGTACGCATCCCACCAATCCCCAAAGGTATCGGTGCCCAAGGATTCCGGAACGGTTGGGCGAAGACGGAACTTCTTACACCGATCCTGGAATTCTTGCTCCGTCGACCGGCATTCCCTCTCGGAAGAACCAGAAAGGCGCCCCCGGCTCAAGAGGGAACGGGAAGCGAGCAGAGGAACGGGGCAACCTTGGAGGTAGCCGAGTTGCCGGGCGACAAAGTGAGGATGGTAGACCTCCCAGCTGGCTCGGCGGGCGTCGCAACCCAGGGGAAGGTCGCGAGCCAGTACGATTGACCCCCAAGACTGTCGGAGGCCCGCGTCCTCGATCTCGGCCCAGGCTGCCGTCGGGAGCCTGATCGAGGCAGGGTATTCCTGGTGCCGGCACACCAAGAACTCGTCATCCGAAAGGACGTCGAGGCCAAAAAAATGCCTAAGAACCTCGTCGGCCCGGTTAGGAGGGGCCGGTCGAGATGCCAGTTGGGGGCCAAGGGCGGCCGAGCGCTGGAAGGTAGGGACTTCAGGCCGAAGAGTGGAGAAGTAGACCTGCAGCCAGAGTTGAAAGACCCAGAGGGGCCCATTCTGGTGCGGATCAATCTTGTTGATGGTCGTCTCGGCCAAGCAACGAAAAAGGTTGGCAAGAATAGCCGGGCTGAGCGCCAGAAGGTGACCACTAGCCAGAGCCTGGGCCACCGGCATATTCTCGACCAAACATTTGTTCGATCTGGTACAACAAATAAACTTGTTGTACCAGTAGAAGAGGAAGGCTTCATGTTCCCCCTTCCTGAGACTCTCCTCGCCCCGGCCGGCGAAATGGAGGATGAGAGTATTATAATTAAAGAAGTTTTTGTGGAGCTTGTGAACTTCTTCCTTCGAAGGCTCCCGGCCACCCCGACTGAAGAGGGGACCCAGAATCTGCGATAGGCGACGGCACTGCGTCTCTGAAGAGGGGACCCAGAATCTGGTGGGTGGTGGCCATGTCCTCTTCAAATCGCAGCGTCTTGATAGCGCTCCGATCGATGAAATCCTTACACTTGTTGGTCTCCTCGGAAAGTTTTGCGATGAAGGAAGCCATTAGTGTAATTTGGAAGAACTGGAAAATTGCAGAAAGGAAAGCTAGAGGGTTTGGTTTGAATAAGCAAGAATGATTAAAATGTGCAAGTTTGGGAATTTCTGAAAGCGTAAGATATGATTAGGTGAAGTGTGGGTATTTATAGGCTTTTCAGACGAAAGATCAAACGTCTGAATTTCAAAAGACACTGGAATTCAAAAGGCGTGGGTTCAAATTGGGGGGAAATGTGACCGGGAAAGTCTGCAATCATTTCGGATTTTTTTTGGGAACCTGCGAAAATGGAATCGAGGAGTCGAAAATCCAGGACGCACGATTGCGTGCGGAGACAGGTTCAATGTATTAATAAAGATAGGGCGATTCAGTTTGTGCAAGTTTTCGAGGCCCATGATTGAAGCTTTTAAGAACGGCGTAAAAATTGACGCGTGGCCACGCGTTGGGGGCAACGAGGGAGGCGCAATCATGTCTCATAAATATGCAGGAATAATGGTCATTAATGAAGTAAGGTCCAAAAAGCAACAAATGTTTTCGCTTCTTCAAGGCCGAGAACCGACCAAGAGTGACAGCCGGCGACCTCAGAAGCGAGGGGGCAATGTTTGGGCCCAAAATATTATGATTGGGCCGAGCAGCAAGACGTGCTCGGCCCAGGGTAATAACACATGCTATGGGCCAAGTAATGAGACTCGGACCAGCTGGCAGGGTCGGCCAGATCCGATCTTAAGTAGTCCAGATAAACGAGGAAAGGTCGAGGAAATCCTGATGCAACCAGGATTCTCGACCGGCAAGGGATAGAACCTCAAAAGTAGGAGAATTCAGAATCCCAATAGGACTGGGATTGTTTGAGTTAAAGGTAAGATGGGACAAGGACTCCCAATCCAAATCAGAATGGGAATCAAGGAACGAGGTGCTATAAATACAAGAAATTACGCAATAGAAAAGACCCTCCACAATCAGCATACAATTGCCCTGCGCAAATTCTCTCAAACACCTTGAGATTTTTCCTTTTCTTTTCCCGCCGACACACCTTCAGTTTGGATAAACAGCACTGTGGAAGCAACCGGTGAGCACCTTCAGTTTGGATAAACAGCACTGCTGCCGCAGAATCAGCCGACCAAGACACACCTTCAGTTTGGATAAACAGCACTGCGTCGAGGTCGACCGATTATCTATCTAAGTCTCGGCCGAGAAAGGTTTTCGAACCTTTGTTGGTAGAGGTCATCTTACTAAGCCGCTTCGGCATAGTTGGGTGTTACGAATTGCCTTGCTCGGCGTATTGGAGGCCGAGTGAGTTTATGATTGGATACTCACAAGTAAGTTTCAGGGTTCGGCATTCCGACGGCCGAACTACGTTTACCATCAAGACATATATCACATTCGAGTACCTGTGCCCGTATAGTTTGGTCTCAATTCGGCGTGCTTATACTCTTACGAATATAATCACAGTGGCCGAATCAGGCTTCGACGAGTTGTGAACTCCGTAGAATTAGTAGCCTTGTCTTCAGGCTATAGAATCCAGAGACCGAGAGCGTTCCTTCCTCGGTCGCAATCGCAAGATACAGAAGTCAACAGCGCGCTCAACGCGACCGCATCAAATTTTACTCCTCGGCCGAGCTCGGCCGACGAGTTGGCACGCCCCGCATTCAACCGAAGGACATTAGTTAGCTCATTAGTTATTCGGCCTGCGCGCCACGTAGGTTCTGTAATTTTTGTAGTCAACAATACTGTAATTTTGTTTTTCTTCTTTCTCCCTTCTCTCTCTATTTGGATTAATATTTAACTTTAGATTTCAAGGGAAGAAAGCCCAAAAGAGCTCAATAAAGGAGATTTTGGCCGAGGCCCAGAGTCAAGCCCATATACCCATCTCGAGACAATATGATGGCTCCCCATTTAATGCAAAGGCTATGTGCTTACAAGAGAAGTGACAACCGATGAAAATCCACCTACTCCCGGCCCAAAAGCACTTTCTGAATGTCAGAACATGTAAAAATGATGATGACTCACTACCCTTTAGTTGCTTTCGGGCAAGAGCACAAGCGGTATAGTCGGGTTAATTCGCCTATAGAAAGGGGAAGAGGGCCCAGAGAAAAAAAACACTCAACCAATCAAACAAACAAACATACAAACATACAACTTGCCTCTCAGTCAAGCAAATACCCAGAAAGCTGTGCTTTGTCCAGATTCTGTACCCTTTTAGCCGTAAACTCCCCTCAAAAAGACATCTTTTGTCTAAGTGTAAAAACTCTGCTACCTTTTCTAAATACTGTAGTATCGATTCTCTTGTGTAACTTGTTCGCCACTCATCCTACTTTAGTACTCAACTCCTTGTAACTACAAAGGGAAGAGACCGTAGGACGTTTAAACTTTGCCCGACAAGGTGAAAGCTTGTCCAACTCTCTTTGTTTTGTCTTTAAGTTAATAGATCTGGTGTTATGATGTATTCCCCAATATACATTCAAGTCATTTCCAGTCTTTTGATGAACCAAAAGTTCCATCAGTTCTCAAATCTGGTTCACTTAGTGATTTTACTGTCATAAGAAGACTAAATGTGAATTAAACTGATGACTTGATCAGATCTGGACCTCCACCCATTAAGCATACAAGATGACCAACTAAAAGTCCTTGATCTCTAGGCATATAAAAGAACTTAATGTAGACTTAACCCATCTATGACAATCCTTTGATAACAAGAAGTTAGAATAACTTGGGGAGCAAGTAATCGGCTTAAACACACTTGTTCTACATTTGCCATACTGAGATGGCAGTGGCAAGCCTAAGCACTTAATTAGTTTTGATTGTGGCCTCAAGACCTACACCTAAGGCCCCACAAAGGCACCTTTCAGAACTAACTTTGCCCTCCTCTTGCAGCATCTCGGCAAGCCGGAGCTCGACAATCTAACAAAGTGCCAACTCCTCGAGAAAATGTGTGCTTGAGCCAGGGACCCCTCCTAGTGAGATTTCTTACCCGAACACTCTTTTCCCTCTCACTCTTCTTCCCGCGACTTAGCTGGTGATGATGGACCACCAAACCAACCAAAAAGCCTCTCCTTGCCAGAACTGGCAACTAGTGTTTTTGGATCCTGAGATGAAGGGGAGATGATTGGTTGGAACGTGGAAGTCTGATTCACCGGCGTTTCTTTCATTCTATCTCTAAAAGTCATACTCTTTCACCTCCTCCGAACCACTTTCTCTCTCTAGAACTCCCTCGCCGCTACCCTTTCTCTGATGCTTCAATTCGGGTCAGCATAAACCCTACGACTGGGAATAATTTGAAGTTGTGGGAGTTAATGTTTTGAGAAATAGCTCTGAATTTTCAATTTTGTTTTTGCTGATTTTCGAAGTGGTTGTGGAAGACGATTCTTTTGAACTAGTTTAATTGGTTTAAGTGGTTGCACGGGGAATTAAGGGTTTTTCCAAATATGAATTTCGTGCGTGCGTTGTGCTAAGTTCTAATTATTCCACAGATTGTTTGGTTTTGGAAAATTTATTTTTGGATTAGAAAATGATGATAAGCAAAGGGGAAGTCCTAGGCCTGCAGCATGCGTTAAAAGTGCAGGCCATCTTTTCCACTCTATTTTGTTGATTTTGTCATATGAGTTTCTTACAAAGCTCAAATCTCGGTTAATTTTCTTACTAGAGTTTTGACTTTTTATTTGTTCCTTTTTTTTTTTTTTTTTTTTTTTTTTTTTTTTTTTTTGGGGAAAATTGCAGGAAGCTCGCATTTAGATTTGGCTCTTTGAGCAGAAGTACCTCACGATTGGAGGCTGAATTATTGTAATTTTTTTTTTTCACAAATAAAATTCGAATTATGCTCTACTATAGCTTCTTCAACAAATGCTAGTTCTTCGATCAAGCTTTGAATGACTTTTTAGTCAGATCGGTCTTACGTTTCAGATATAAAGTCTCATGGTTTTAAAGTTATTTTGATGATGTTGCTACACTCATATTACGGTAAAATGAGCTTTTACATTGGTTGGAGTTGGATCCCCCATCCATTATTAAGAGGCGGCCGGGGGCACATTTCATCCATATCACTAAAGTTTTCTACTTTCATTTAAAGAATTTAAAAACTTAGTTTATTGCTAATGCTACTCGGGAAGAAAAGGAAAAGGGAAGCTAATGGATCTAGTTTATTGCCTAGTTGTAAGAAAGATACATTATCATTGGATATATTTTATGGAGTTGGAGGAATGCGGTCAGCACCACGACGTAATCTTGAAATGGATTTCATAGTCAGCAACTCAGGAGCAATCAGCATATTAACAAAGATCTGTTCTGGTGGTGATATTACATGGGATGCGTTATAAATCTGTTCCGTCTGCAGTCTTTGTGGTGGATTTGTACTGACAATGCTTGTGCTAGTACGTGTGCAGTTGTAGTTGTCAATTTGGAGGTTATTATTAACTCTAGCTTGTGCGAATTACCTTCAGATCAATTTATTTGGTCACTGAAGATTATATCCATGTGACAACTTGTAATGGTTGTGGACTCTTTGTAATTCAGTAATGAAATTTTTTCTTGTTTCAAAAAAATAAAAAAAAGCGCCAAGAGTCGTTCACACTATGTTGCCATCCTAGCCCATAAAGGAGTCAACACACGTGTACTAATAAAATTATTTATTCATTAATTCTATTATTAACCAAGATTAATCATAAAAGAGCTGAGCACATTTGGGCTTAGCCAGTTGGTTAGGACGTCGTCTTCTTTGTCAGTAGACAAGTAAGCTAGATTTGAATTTATTTTTTGTAATATAGATAAATTTAATATAAAATATAACTTGTATCAAAAGAAAAAAGAAAAAGGAAAAAAGAGATGTAGCGGGATATAGAACACTACTCAAAATATTAATCAAAACTCAAGCAAGAGGTCAACAGTACTGAAAGATTGCACGGTTAATTGTCATTGCTTCCACAAAATGGATTTTTTTTTGGTAACACGCCTTGTCTTTGATTTTTTTTTTGTATTTGTTTCGTAAACGACACGCCTTTGTCAAAGGAAGTAGTTTTCTT